GGCCCCATTATATCCTATGGGCCATTGAAGTCAATGGCGAAAACATAGGGTATATTCTGGGGGCTGGAGGAGAGGGGACTTGAGGGAGAGGCTCCAAAATCGCAGGGTAGCTGCTGGAGCCTCTCCCCAAGATACCCGCCATGGTTCAGGAACATTGAACTAGGGGGTCCAATTTTACGGGCCCCCAAACAGGTTGCCCCCATCTCCTCCATTGGGAAAACTACCCTGCGAGTTTGGAGCCTCTCCCTCAAACTCCCTTCCCTCCAGCCCCCAGAATATACCCTATGTTTTCACCATTGACTTCAATGGCCCATAGGATATAATGGGGCCGAAATTGACATTCAGCTGGCCCTTTTTCAGGCCCGGCGTTCTAGTGCGGAGCCTGAAAAAGGAGGGGGGCGGCTCTGCAGGCCATTTTTCAGGCCCGGCCCTCCGGCGCGGAGCCTGAGAAAGGCGGGGAGGGCAGCTCAGCAGCCCCCCCCCCCTGTGGTGGTTGCAACTGCCAGCGGAAGCGGCAGGGGCCATAACTTTTTAGGGACAGCTGTGGGAGCCAGAATGACCTCTCATGCGAGAGGTGGAATTTGCCCCTACAAGTCCAAGGCCACCACCATGGGGCTCAGGGAGGCGGGGGAGCGTTTCACCCCCACCCACTGTGTCCCAACTGATGGCTGGTGGGAGCAGGGGGCGGGGCTTATGTGCCCTCCCTCTGGGCTCCTGACTGGTGGAGTGGTGCTCTGGTGCACTCCAGCAGGAACTGAGGCCTGCTCTTCCCTACTTTTTCTCCAGATTATATAGTTTATAAGCTCAACACAGGGACTTTAGTTACTGTATATATAAAGGCTAACATGTATACTGATAGCGAGACCAGGGGTCATTTGGGGGGGGACGTGGGAGGACGCCATCCCCCCGGGTGAGGTGCGGGAGGGCGGGGCCTGGAGCTCCCTGCTGGTGCCCGCTGGAGGTCGCCGCCGGCTGTGGGGAGGGGCAGAAGAGGCACTCAGCCAGCCGCACAAGCTGCGTGCAAAGCTTCAGGGCTGCCTCGTTAAAGGAGTGCAGAGTCCAGACTCGCTTCCGGTGATGTCAGGGGGTGTGGCATATGCTAATGAGTTATGCTAATGAGTCCCCTTAGCTCTTTTTCTACGAAATGACCCCTGAGCGAGACTATGTAAATAACTTTACAAATCTTTCATAATGCTCAGTGTTACAGTTGCCAGACCCCCACTGGGGTGGGGAAATCCCACCTCCAAATTATGTTTTTTGGGCCACTTCCAGTTTTGTCCATTCTGACATGCTGCTGTCACCCAGAAGTAACATGGGTATGTTGGGGGTGTCTGCGGGTGATGCTCTGGTATTTGGGCAAACTCTATGGTAAATTCAGCCGAATTTACTGGAAGTGGCCTGAAACCACTCCCAGTCTCCCGGAAGTGGGCTAGGAGTCCCCAGCTGACCAGGTAAGTCCACCTGGCATCCCTACTCAGTGTACACTGTCTCACCTAGACTCTTAAGCTCTGAATGTGCATGCTGCATTTCCTTCTCATCTGTTGAAAGAAAAGTGACATTTTCCTCTGCTCCTATTTAGCTCATTTGTTGCCAAATGAGATTTCCTGTACTATTGGCTCAACAAAAAGCAAGGGGTTAAAAAGGCTGATTAATAAAAAATAAAAATTGAAATATGTTTTATTGCTCAATTAAATTAAATATATTTCACCTGATTTTGCACCATCAGCCTTGGCTTTGTTTTTTAATCTCCTATGACTGGCGTGGCTCTTTATTTTCTTGTCAACAAAAAGCAAAACAAAATGCTGGTCTCAGTCTGTGGCTCAGACTAAGAGATGGCAACTGCCCCTCGTAATCACTTGACACCAGAATGGTGTTGCTAACTGTGCCTACGCAAAACCTCACTTGTGGGGCTAGTTTGGCAACCTTATTAAATGGTGACTTCTTGTTCACTTGTTTCTTGTCCTAAATGGTTGTCCATCATCTGCTTGCCCCAGAAATAGCTATAGCTGGTTCTTCTGTCAGGTAGAATGGAGAGGTGGTGCCATCCTGATATTTGGGTCTATAAACTGTGTTAATAAAAGACCACAGACATTGTGTCTTTTCTCCAAAACCAGTGTCAACATGTTTTGTAAAGCTTTTGTGGGTTTGCTTCATGTTACATTTTAGCATAAAAATGAAAACTGAAATTGGGTTTTTAAAACATGAGTACTGTGCAGGCAAGAAATTCCTAGATATACTGCATGCATTTTTTGGATGAAGTATAGTTGGCCCTCAGTCCTTTAGGCAAAGGGTGGTTTTTGGTTGAATTACAAGAAAAGAACAGTGCAAAAAAAAAAAGTTCTAGGAATGAGCAGAACTGCCAAAGAAATTTTTCTTACATTAAACTTCATTTTCTTCCTTTAAAATTCTTCAAAAACCTCCAGATTCACTACAGAAGTGAAGTTCTGGAGCAGTTCTGTGAACAATCATGTCTTGGTTCTTGAGCTGATCTGGGTCAGTGGGGCTGAAAGTCCCTTTGCAGTTTGTTATTGTACCTTCTCAAGTTCCTTTTCCTATTATTTTGCATTCTTAGAAAAAAAGTGATAATGCAGTGCTCACCAACTTGAAGGAAGGGACATACATCTTCCAATTGACGGTGACTGATACCGCTGAGCAGCAGAACTCCACCGATGTCACTGTCACAGTACTGAATGCAGAACAGACCACAGGTGAGTTAGGCCTGGATACACTGTTGATATTGTAGAGACGGCTGCACCTAGAGCTGGTAATTCTTGCTTTTATTAGTCTGCTGGAAACTCAGGGTGCATTCAGATGGGCAGCTAATTCTGCCATTGACCTGGCTCAGATTTGATCCCGATCTTTTTTATCCAGTGTTGCACGACCAGACAGCTCCCCCCGTGAATCGCCTTATCGCATGCTGACTCTGCTGTGGATTGTCTAGATGGCAACAGCACCGGACTTTCACCGGTATCTTTTACGTACAGCTCCCTGGTGGTGCAAAATGGGCTGATCACGGGAGCAGCCCCTTTCCCAGATGTCACTGTCTGATTGCTCCCTGGGTCAGACATAAAGACCTGTCTGAACACGACCATAGGGAAACAAACTAAATATTGGTTAGAAAATAGGTAAATGAAAGAGTGGTCTAAAGACCCATTAGGCTATGAAAATATTTCCAGCTTTAAGGACGCTGGATGGGACACTGCATGGGAACCTTATCTGAGCTCCTTGAAGAACTGAACGTGAGTCAGCAGTGCGATGTGGTAGTTAAAAAGGCAAATGTGATTTTGGGTTGTATCAACAGAAGTATAGTGTCCAGATCATGCGAAGTGATGGTATTGTTTTACACTGTTCTGGTTAGACCTCATCTAGAGTATTGTGTTCAGTTTTGTGCACCACAATTCAAAAAGGATATAGGCAAGCTGGAACATGTCCAGAGGAGGGCAGCGAAGATGGTGAGGGGTCTGGAGACCAAGTCCTATGAGGAAAGGTTGAAGGAGCTGGTTATGTTTAGCCTGGAGAGGGGACGACTCAGAGGTGATATGATAACCATCTTCAAGTACTTGAAGGGGTGTCATATAGAGGATGGTACAGAGATGTTTTCTGTTGCCCCAGAAGGTCAGACCAGAATGGATTGAAATTAAATCAGAAGAGTTTTTGGCTAAACATTAGGAAGAAC